AGAAAATATAACTTATTCTTCATCATCATCTAGACGTCAATTATCAAGTCCTACACATCGTTATGGAAGTATGTGTGCTGTTAGTGGTGGAAATAGTCCAAGAATACAATCATTACATAATGATTTTAAAACAAGAAAACAATTGAGAGCTCGACATAAAGTAGCTAAAACAGTTTTATTTTTATCAATTATATTTTTTATTTGTTGGTTACCAAAACAAATACATGATCTTTATTGGTATATTGGTGTTATTGTTTATCATTCAAAATGGAATTATTTTTGGCATATTAATAAAACGGCAGCATTATTATTGTCTTATATTTATTCATGTATTAATCCATTTGCTCTCTATTTTCTTAGTTCAACATTTCGACATTTTTATAAACGATATCTGTTTTTTTGGACAAATATATCTTGTATCTATTATTGTTGTGGTAAAAAAAAAGGTATTGAAGAAGAATCATCTACAATTGGAACAAGTACAACAAATAGTGATCGTCGACGATCAAGTAATAATACAACAACAATTATTAATTTAAAATTAAATAAAAAGATAAATAATAAAAATGGAAAAAATAAAAATTTTAAAATGAAACAAAAATGTTATATGAGATCTGATACAACATTAACAGCTAGTCTCAGTTTATTAGTATCACAACCCAATACAATTATATCAAATATTACATAAATAAAAATAGATCAACAAATAGATTAAAAAACAATTATTCATATTGATTAGTGTGAAATATTTTAAAAAAGGAGAAAATAAAAAAATGTTGTTGTTGTTGTTTTTGTTGTTGTTGTTTTTTTTGTGTTTTTTTTCTGAATAATTGATGAAATTCGAAGAATTATCTGTACTATTTATAGTAGATTGCCGGTGACATTGATCTTTTCTTTTTTTTTGTTGTTTTTTCTATCTCTGTTCATATAATTGTTGACATATTTTATCTTATTTGTTTTTTAATATGTACTGTGAACCCTCGCTTTTACTCTCAATAGTGAATACAATTATTTGCTACACTAGACCATCAAACAGTTCAGAAAACAAAAATAAAAAAATGCGTGATATTGTAAATAATTGTCTCATTTTACATATTGAAAATTGATGTGTTCATAGTTTTATTTAATGGAACAAAACTAGTGTCATAATGATAGAGTTACTCAATACTTTATTAAAATTAGTAATTCATTTCCCGTATTCAATGGTGTATTGATGAAAAACAAAAAAAAAAGAAGAAATAAGTCTTATAGTTGATTGTGTGCAAATTAGACATTTCATTGAAAATGAAGATGAAACAAACAAATGTCAAATCTAAAGCAGATAATTTTGAAATGTCAGTAAGAGAAAAATAATGTGTGATAATCATACTAGTCTATCTATAACAGCTCTAAATATGAAACATGTGTCCTTTAATTGTTAAGTATGTTTATAACTTTTGTTTTACTACTTTTATTTTGGCTATACAAGATGAAATAAACCAGATGTCAAAGAAAATAATACTTTCGAAAATGTTTTTGTTACAGATAACGGGTTAAACGATACTTTCTATTGATAACATAATCTCTAAAATATGCCGAAAATGACACTTTTTAGTGTTTTGACAAATTAGAAAACTTTTCGTTAGTGATGATTTATCCATGTCAAAAATAACTCTGTTCCATTGAGAATATACTTGACATCCAGAGATTAAGATGCGTTTTGATTGAATAAGCAAAAAAAAGTTGATATTCGATATTAGTTTCATCAACGAGAAGATAAATTGAACGAAGTTTTTCATATGTTAGAGCGTTTTATCCTATTATGATCCTAACAACATATAAACAAGGACTTAAACGAATCACTGCAAACATTCCTACAGACTGTTTTTTATTTTCTTTTTTATATAATTGAATAATACCATAAAATAACAAATATCTAAAGTTAACGTGTATCAAATTTAACTATTGATTGCGACTTTTTTAATAAAGTAGAAAAACGCCGACTAATTTCTATAGCTGCTAATTTTAACGCGCCAACTTTAGATAAAATTTTGTTTTAATAAAAATTTTGAAAATTACTTTCTACTCTTATATATCATTCAGTTTTAATCATAGAACATCGAATGACACTTTTGAAGTCACATAAAATCTATATAAGGATATGAATGTCGAAAGTAGAATCAACTGTATTCAACAACGATCATCATTGTTGGCTTTTGTATTAACGTGGTTTTTACCATTAATACTTGTGTTTTTCAATATTGCTTGTACAGCACGACAAACAATATATGAAACTGTTCGAAATATTAACAATGTATTGTGTATCGATTTAGATTGCATTGCCATCGTACTCGGTTGGTTATTATTACAGGTGATAAGAAAAACATGTTTCATCTCGCTAAGTTAATCGAAAAGTTTAATTTCACGTAAATATTATATATTTTTTATGGTAGAAAGACCGATTATTTACTAAAAATCATGTAATTCAAATCTATCAGAATTTCAGTAGTAGAAGCAAGAATTGTTGAATAAGATTTATTTTAAAACATCTAACGCTAATGGCTTCGATATAAATAGTAAATGATCCATACATTGTTTCATGCATGAAAGAAAAAGATACCATCTATTGGTGCATAATACTGTATTTATTCAATATATTACATGTAGTATATTGATCCAGTGATTGTGTAGCAGACTGGCCAACTCAAAGAAAGAAAATGAGATAATAGATGGAGTCGAGTTTTTAAAAACCAGAACGTCCAGTGACAAAGTTTACGGAACGAGTGGAGCATAACAAACATCCGTACTGAGCTCCCAGGGATGGATATTCCCGTCCTGCGTCCGTTCTGACTCCTATGGATGAGTAAGAGATAGGGCGTACATCTGTTAGATCATTTATGTAACAGATTCACAATAGCTCACCTTCTTTGGAATAAATTCTGATTCACAGCTACTTCAGCACAGTTTCGTGTGCACTACAAACTGTTCTTGATTGAATATTACATCGCGCTATGTTGTCTATGTATTCTAGATGCAACGAGACACACTTAGAAACGGATCCTTTCTACATGTCTGCCTCGTTGCATCTAGAATACATGGGCAACATAGCACGATGTAACATTCAATCAATAGTTTGCAGTGCACACGAAACTGTGCCGAAATAGCTGTGAATCAGAATTTATTCCAAAGAAAGTGAGCTATGGTGAATCTGTTATATGTATGATCTGACAAACATGCATATTGTCTGTATATTATAGATGCGATAAAAGTTCGGTAGTTTTGATAGGATGAGATTAGAACACTTATTTGAACATTTTTTCGTTTCCTCGAATGTATTATTTTCTCATTTCCATCTACATTTATCGCATTTTTTACGTTTCTTTTAGATATTTTTATTTGTGTTACCAATTGGTTCTGGTTACTGTGTTCGCTCTGGTGCAATGCCTTATCGCCAAAATGGTGTACTGTCATTTTTTATCTCTCTTATTGGCATTTATGCATTAAACCTTTTTGGTATTTTTCATCCATCTTATGTATATGATAATATAACCAAGATTCTTATTGCCAGTATAATTGTATCATTTTTCATTAGTTTATTATTGTTTATTAAAGGGAATCAACACCGACGTGCACTTAAAATAAATCCAGTCATTGCTTTTTTCTACGGAAGTGAGATAAATCCCATATTATTCGGTATTGATGTCAGATTATTTTTCGAATTACGACCTGGGCTCATTGGATGGGCAATATTAAATTTATGCTTCTTTCTGAAAACATTAGAGCTGGTATGACCTTTTACTCTTTTCACTTTATTTATTTAACATTAGTTAGAACAAAAAGTGTCAATATACATTGATTGTAATCTTATATTAAAATATTTTAGTATACCCATCGTATTCCACCATTTTCTGTTCTCATAGCAACACAACAATTAATTCAATCATTTCAACTATTATGGTATGAAGAAGATCGTGTTAGCAATGAAATAATTAAGAATGAATCATTCGGTTTTTCACAAGTATTTGGATCATTGTGTTGGCTACCTTTTCTATGGTGTTTACCAAGTCAATATATGACATTAATCAATTATCCTATAAAACGTATTTATATAATTTTATCAGTAATATTAGCAATTAGCGGTATTATCATTTATCGTGGTGCAAAAAATCAATGTGAAACATTTAAAAAATCGAGAAAAAATATGGAATATATTCTATTGAACGATGGTCAAGTATGGTTAACAAGTGATTGGTGGAGTATTTGTAGACATCCATGTTACTTGGGAAATTTATTAATGTTTATCTCATGGTCACTTCCCTGCGGTTTCACTCTTATACCATGGATATTGCCTGTTTATTATCTCATGGTTATCTATAATCGTAGCAGAATAGAAGATGCACAATGTAGAAAAAAATATGGCGCCCTGTGGGATAACTATTCAAAACAAGTAAAATATGCCGTCATCCCTCGATTATTCTGATTTTTTCAGCACATTGATATGACAATTTTACATGATTAACAGAGCATTCATTTTTTTTCAGTTATTTATTGTTTGTTTTTTTTTGGATCGGAAATAAAATTAAGAATGAAAATTTGAAACCATCAACGATTGAGAAAAAGAAATATCTTCATCAATTACGAAGATGGCGATCTAACTATGCTATGATAAAGAGAAAAATCGAAAAATTCATAAATTAGTGACTTCCTAATATTAATAATAATAATAATAATAACAGAGAAAGAAAACAAATATGAAAAATTGATGTGAAAAGCGTTGTTGTTATTGTTTTTTTTCATTAATTAGGGACAACTTCGAAGAAATGTCAATTTTTAATAATAGAATTTTATATATATATCTATCTCTCTCTATATATATTAATCCCCTTTTCTTTATTTGTTATTTTCAACCAAAAATATATAGAAGCAATTTTTTACGGATTAAATATATTTCATGGAAAAACAAATAATAACAAAAAATTATGGAGTGATTACTGATAAAGTTCATCGAATACACACGATGTTAATAATAGATCATTAAATTAGGAAAAACAAAATTGAAAGCGACAAACAAATACATAGCCGTATTAAATAGTCGTTTATTCTTTCTCGATCTCATTTTTATCTTGTGAATTTTTTCATATTTCCTTTCTTTCACCCTTATGTCGCAAATTATCACTATTTCATATAAGAATAGCATATATATATATATGTGTGTGTGTATCTATGTATATGTATATAAAATAGTGGATAATCTACATGTTCTATAGGATCTGTGTCAATAATTAGTCAAATAAGGTAATATTTTCTTTTTCAATATAAAAATGGATCATGACCGTTTCAACATTAATCAGAAACATTTACGTTTAATAGATATTAGACGATGAATTCAATGCAGAGTGTATTTTGAGAAAAAACAATCAAAAACTTTTTTTCCAAACATTAAAAAAATATTGCTGTACGTTCTCACATCTATGGTCCTGGTCATAAGTATAAAATTTTTTATTTTCACAAACTCGAAATAAAAACATTTTCCAGAGCCCTGCAGGTTAAACCTAACCTAACTTACAAGGGAACCTTCCCAGATGTCTACTTACGATTCAAATGTTTTGTACATGGATTGATTGATCTCAGTGAGGTAGTATATACCCTAAAAGGATTCGGACTCATGACTCCTGAAGACCCGATTTTCCGGAAAACCAGTTTTTCAGAAACTCTAAAAAATAATCAAAATCTTTTCTTAATGAGGCATGATTGTGGCCTGCAAATTTCTGATTAAAATGAGACGTCTTCTAGCTCTACACGACCTTTCTTTGCAAAGTTATAGAATTTACAAGAAAAGCCCTAAATTAATTTCTTCTTATTGCTGTAGCTTTGAGCTGACAATGAATATTTGGGGCTTTTCTTGTAAATTCTATAACTTTTTTTCCCAGTTTTCCAGAAAACCGGATCTTCAAGAGTCATGGATCCGAATCCTTTTAGGGTATTTACTACCTCACTGAGATCTATCGATCCATGTACAAAGCATTTGAATCGGAAGTGGGCATCTCGGGAGGCTCCCTCGTTCATCCAACCTATAGGTTAGGTTAGCTTGTAGGTTGTGTTTTAATGTTTTTGGCTTTCTTTCTACTTTTGCGCAAGCGAAATTTTTTTTGTAATTTTGAGTCATCCACGCCCTAATTCTTTGAAAGGCAAAAAGCTCAATGACATGTAAATTTACTTTTGTCCGATATGCGTGTAACGTTCTGTGAATTGAGAACAAAAAATCACAGGATAGGTTAGGTTAGGACTCGATCACCGACTTAAAAGGTTAGTTTAGGACCAAGATGTAAAATTTTTTATAAACCCCCGTCCACATTAGAAGCCCAGTGGACTTCTACTATGTCCTGCAAGAAAGGCAAAAATTACCCTATGGGGGCAGGGGCAATTTTCAAAAAATTTCTTGCCAGACTGGGCTTCTATTATGGGATGGGCTTCTAATCTGAGGGGGGGTTTAGGTTAGGTTATAGGTTGCCAGAAAGTGGCAACCTGCATGGCTCTGTTACCCATGAATACCAGTAGATATTTTTAAAAAAAAGTTTTCAATAGATATGAGAAAAAAGTGAGTATGCGTGTGTGTATGTACAGATGCCTACTCAGAAGTAGGGGAACTCCAGTCTCATATGACTGTCGAGAAGATGATATTTATAAGTAATATTCGTTTTATTTTAATTTCTAATCTAGTTAATAATTGATAAGGTTTTTCTCAATATTTCACGTGTAATTGAGTCGCTTTTTGTGTGACTTGATTATTTAATCAATTTTTCCGATACGTTTCTTTTCTAAATGAGGCTTATGTAGGGAGATAAAATAACACTACTTTTGTGTATATGATTATCTAAATATTACTATCTTCATCGAATTGTCTATGCTAGAAAATATTCAATTACGAATTAAGTAAGTCTCAAAAAAATAAATTGAGCTTTATTTTAGCGTTAACAGAATAAGTCACACGAATATGGTACGAATTTGCCTCTGGTGAAGTTGTTTCACGTTTCTCATCTCTTCAAATTGTTCTCTAAGGCTTTCCTTCTCGCTCGCTCTCTTTCTCTCTCTCTCTCTCTCTCTTTATATATATATATATATATAAATGTTTATAGTTATAACAAAGAAGATCTCTTTCTTATTAGAAAACTGTAAACTTATAGTTTTTTATTATTTTTTCTGAAATAAAAGACTTGAATATACATTAGTTGATTATGTCAATTTTTTGAGAACATTAGAAAGAGGCATAATAGAACAATAGCCATATGACAATCTATTGTTATTGTTTTTTGATGTAAAACTCTATTCATATATCAGATTAGTTTCAACATGGTAGCGCCAATGATAAATATTGAATGAACTTAATTACATTATGACACCCCATAAAATAATTCTAATTGTGTATTATAATAGAGAATCTATTTTAAGATATTTTTTTAATCAAGCATACAATTGAGTGTTTTTTTACCGTTAATTAATAACTGAAGCAAAAATATTTTATCATTTAAAAACTACACACTTTTCTGTATCAATCTTTCTGAATAAATTTATAAATATAAAAAGAAGATCACATAAAATATTTTAAACAAGAATATTGAAAAAAATGGTAAGTTTTACGTTTGTTCAACAGTTTAAGATGTTATTATTAATATGTGAACGAAAATATAAAATTATTTTTTAATATGATAGATATTCAATAGAGACGGATAAGATGAGGTAGTCGCGCTGTACATCTCGATCATCTTCACTACATAACCGAGCATACCTAACGTATCGTTCTACTAGTCTTCGATTTTCTACTATTGTATATTATACGAGAAGGAAACGAGCAACAAAACAGTTTTGGTTTGGTTTTGTCATGTTTATCTATTGTATTCTGATGTTTATTAATCGGCACTTCTGTTATTGACTCAGGATGGATTTAACGTAAAAGTTTGTTTATAAATAATGTCGATTATTGTGGGATATGTAGTGTATATTTTATAGACCTGTTGATGTTGCATAATGATTATTACTTTTATTATTCTTGTTTTGGTGTCCGTCAAATTATAATGAACACGAAGAAACTGGAGGAAAATGTGTATATATATATATATATAATGATCTGATTCTTCAGACTACGAATTGAAAATATCGGCATGTAGTTCTAAAATATAGAAATTCAATATAAGATCTGTCGGTGTAAGAACGTTCTCTTCAAACAGCTCAATTAGAAAATGTCTAGTCTTTATATTGAAAAAATAGCTACAAGATTGAAATTTTGTTTGAATAAGATTTTCGAGCGAATCAGAACAACGCCGTGTAGTTTGACCGCGTATCCATTGTCATTAGATTCAAATAAGAAAAATAATCATTTTCTCTGCTGTCATCAATGTTTCTAATGCGAATCTAAGCCATTTCATGAAGTTAATTACTTTATATTTTAGCGTAAAGTAGACAGAATGAATACAGTATAAATTTTTGCCAAGCGACCTATAAAAACTAATCTTTGTCCTATGGTTTTCGAGCTGCAGCTCCAAAGATTTATACTTCATCATTGATCATCGTTAATTTTCTGTTTTAACTGATCGGTTAATCGTATTTTGAAATCGTGATTAGTATGCTACATTCATGCCATGTTATATCCGGACAGCTGTGAGCACTCACAAAAACACTTTTTTTTACTATTTGACTGAGAAAAGTAAGGTTATTTGGAATTTCAACTTGATCTTTTTTTTACATGAATGTTGGAAAGACTGAGTCATATCTCAGTGAAAAACTCAAGCTGAAAAAGATCACCTCGTTGAGAAATTATAAAACTGATACTGATGCTGTACAGATCGAATCGCTCACACAATTCTCAAAGTGTTTATATGTCTAAAAATGATGCTGAACATCATAGATAGAATGTTTATCAATCACTTCACTAATAGTAACACGTTTTCTTTTCATCGCTGAAGTAGTCTTAATATCTATCACCTAAAAATAGCATATACATTCACAATTGTCATCCATTATATTGTGAAGTATCCATCGAACAGTCATATTTTTCATATTTATAACCAAAACAAGAATAATTTGTTGAAAAATATAACTTGACAAAAAAGAATGTTGATGACATAACATGATGATGTATCATTTCTTTTTTGTTTTTCTTTTCTTTGGAATAATAATAAAAGTTTTACGGTTCCTCAAAACTTTTTTTTGTACAGTCGATCATAGATTTACACACTCTCCAGAATCCTTTATGAAAGAGAAAAAAAAATATATTGAATCATATAGACTAAATATCTATTACATACGACTATTATTGACGTTTTTTAAGACCAATGGAAAGAACAGAGAATATGATGGATGATGGTTTTCTTTCCATTGTGCATAGTTTAAAAATAACACATAATACAAGTATTATTAAAAATTTACTTTGCACTGAATAGAACTCGTTCACGGAAATATGTTCTTTTATTACTAATAAACGACCATTAGTGTATATCTCACTCGAATGTCATGGTGAGTATCAAGTTAATTCAAGTCGTTTTGGGAAAGTAAAAATATCACTATTGAGGAGAAACATGATCCAAGAAATTAAAGGCTACTCACAAAATATCACTTGAACTCGCATTTTGAGAAGAGATTAACAACCATTGTGATGTCTAAGATATTTGAATACTTTTTTCCATTTGTGCAACGAAACACGACTAAGTCAGTTATAGATATATATATCTCTTACAATTTTATGAATAGAAACATCAAATGGAACTATGGAATACTCTGTAACGACTTTTCTTCACCGGTAAATGATAAAAGGGGTTTTCAAAGAAATGTTCTTCTTTTTATACCCAACTGTTTCCTTTTCTTGTTGTTATTGATTCAGTTGTTTATTTTTGTCTTGTTTTTTGATAAAAACAATCAGGAAAGTCTTTTTTTCTCTGCAAGTTATTAGTCAAATTTAACATGTGTAAAGTTGTATGGTTGTTCTCTCTCGGTGTCAAATAATAGCGGAATGGATATGATATTATTCACATGTGTATTCTCATCGTCTATAGTATTATTAGCACATAACCTTTACATTTAATTGAAATGACCGCTCAATACTCTGTAGAGAACTGGTTAATTACGATAAGACGATGTTATTTTTGTATAATATTCTTCTTTAATATCAAGATTGCATCATTGACAGCAGTTAGAAATGGAAAAAACTTGTCAGCTTTATCTAAAGCCTAATCATAAAACGTCTGACGTATGTAACGCATAAAATTGAAGAAAGATTTCTGAAGTTTTAACAAAAAAATCATATTATCAAGTAAAATCACATGTTTCTGTTGGTCATGATGGATCTATTTCTTTTACAAAAAATGGATCCATTTTTTGTAGGCAATAGAGGATTAATTTCCGAAAGCTGAATGTATGCCATTTTAATTCATATTCCTTTGAGAAGAGAAAGAACAGAATAAATTTTCGCAGTTAAATTTACACTACTTCCGTTTGTACTAATAATGAACATCAGAGTTTCACAAAAGTATACTATTGCTTTTGATATATCTTTATAGACCGTAGAGAATATTACATTTTGAACAAGATTCTAGATTTTCAAACGTCTCTTCCATGCATAATTTAAGGTATAAATTACGGTAAAGTCAGTTTTCAGATCGTTTTATCCTGTGTACATGCTTGTTTTAATTAGACAAACTCAGTGTTTTTCTTTTACTTCAGTCTGTCACTATGAACACAATCACCACTACAAATGAAAGTTGTCCAAATGAATGGGATCTGTTAGCGAATACATTTAATCAAAATTTATATATATATTTAACACCAATTATAATCGGCATAGGATTATGTGGAAATATTTTGACAATATTAGTATTTTCTCGTACAGATTTGCAACGACAATGTGTTTGTGTATTAACAATAAGCTTGGCTATCGTCGATTCACTTGTGTTACTAATACCTGCTCTAATATTATGGCTCGAGACAGTTTTGAAAAGAGAATTTTCCGAAACGTCTGGTTTCTGGTGTCGTACACATGGTAAATATAGTATTTTACAATAATAATACATTATTTAGGATTATTTTTTTATTTTAGGTTTTTTTGACTTAGCATTTACGTGTACTTCCAGTTGGTTAATTGTTTTCATTGCATTTGATCGATTTATAGCTGTCTGGTTACCACATAACAAGACACTGTTTACACATCGGCGAACATTTATCCTTGTCCTTTCTACTATTCTTATTTCTGCTGTTATTTCATCATGGTTCATTTTTGTTATTAGAATGATGCCAATATTGGATGACAATAAAATTTCATCAACTCCAACAAAATTGAGGTGAGAACAGATTTAAATTAAAATGGAAGTACTGAAATATTTCAGATCACAACTTTTCCATTCGTACGTACAGACAAGTCAGTAAATGATTTATATTTTTATTGCTTCAATCATGTAGAGGCACTAAATTTATTTATTCTTCTAACGTGGAATAAAGAATAATTTAAATAATTTAAAAATTCTTTTATTTTTTTTTAGTAACTTTGAACATACAAATTCGTCATATAGCATTGCATTATTATCGAAAACCAATAGTTCATCATTACTAGTAGACGTTAATTCTATTATTCTTTCTCGTTGTGGAATAAAGCATAAAGTAGCTTACCACATTGTTGGTACATTGGCCATTGTAATTAATTATTTTCTACCGTTTTTAATCATAGCCGTAGCAAATACTACAATTATTTATCGTTTGAGTTTACGTGGTATTGTTGACATTACATCAAACATCACATTAATGTTAATTCTCGTCTGTATCATGCATTTAGTGTGTACGTTCCCATATCAATCATGGTGGCTCTATTATCAAGTTGTACAGGAAAAACCGACTAATTGTGAATGGTTAAAAACAAAAGCAAAATGGAGAAATTTTACGTTTACTATACGCAATATTAATTATATGCTAAATTTTTTTCTTTATTCCTGTTCATCACGCCTTTTTAGAGACGAATTAATTAAATTAATTACTATATGTTTATTTCCGTCAGAACAATCAAATTATCCCGCTTATTATTATCGAAGAACTAGTACATATAACAATAATACAGGACAACGTTTTTCAATTTCGAGATTAATTCTTAGAAGATTAAGTAGAACAACAGAATATACAAATGGCTGACATACATACATAAAACTAATATATTTTATAATATTATATTGCTGGCAATTAAAACATTAATTTGTAGTATAAACTAGATTTACGATTAAATAATCAAATTATAACAATATTTTTAAGTGGATGGATACCGGTGTTCAAGTATGAAAAAGACTGGATACGATTTGGACTAAGTTTGTATATATGAACAAGAAAAGAAAACATTAGAAAGTTTATTACATTTAATTTTTTAACTGTATATTTTTGAGAATTTTAAGCGTTTAAATGTAGCTTTCAAAAATACCATTATGATTAAAACTAATCATCATCAGGTTTTAAACCTCGAATATACAAATGTTTGAATGAGTTATGTGCATAATAACTTTGGAAAAGTTTATTATATGTGTTATATAGATATATGAGTATTTTTTCATGCTAAATCTGGAAAAAAGTTTCAGTTCCAATTCGTCGATACGTTGATTGATTTCGTCGACATTTTATAATGTTGGCGTCCCACTAACATCTTTCATCTCCCTCCTAATGTTGTCAACGAGTCGGGAAAAAAATTAATTAGTCGACGAATCGGGACAATACCAGAAAGAATTTTTTTCAAATGAATTTATAGTCAATCCTCAACTTTTTGTAATTTAATTTTCAAGTTTTTCTTTGTGTTTTCTTTGAAAAAAGAAAGTGGCATTTCGAAAAAAGCTTTTATTCCCGTCATTACTCAACCTATCGTACCTAATCCATTGAGAAAGTTTCTTTTCGAACTTTATTTAAGCGAGACAACTTTTTTAGCCAAATTCTCTGTGAACTAGCCTTACTGCATGACTGAGTGATCTATGAATAGTTTCTAGATTCTATGTGCAGTACACACAGTCTGCACGATCCGAGTTAAATGAGACCAGTTGGATTCGATTTTTCAAGTACCGCTTACACCTTTAAGGGCCCCCTAAGAAATTATCTCCGACACCATACATCCGATCTTTACGAAACTTTCAATAAATGTTAGGCACAATGAGTTACGGGCGGAATGAAAAAATTTTTTTTTGACTCCAAGCCTTACGGTTTAGGAGTTTTCCAGAGATCAAGGTCCAAAAAGGAACCTGAAGTGCGTCCCAAGATTTTTTAGTATACTTCAAGCTGGAGAGTTCGGGTTTGTTTTATTTTAAACTAGACACCAAAATACATGGACTGACCGGCGTCGATTTTTCAATTAAGCCTTTATTGGTTTTCTAGGCAACCAACAACCTCCAAAATCCGAAAAATCCTTCCGGATTTTCTAAAAATTCTCAGTTTGACAAAAAACTAAGACCTAATTCAAAAATCGACGCCGGCCAGCCGATGTAGTTTCTTTTCTTCTTTTAAACAAAAAAAGAACGAACTCTCTACGACAAACCGCTATTAAAAATCTTGGGACACACTCCAGCTGTAACTCTTATATAGAGAAAACGTTGTATTTTAATACACACATAGCCTGATAGAGCATGGAATTCTGAGGAAAATAAGATATCTCCCGGCTGTCTATAATGCTTTTTCATCGGAATGTTTTGGTAATTTTCACGGCTTTTGTAGCCGTT